GATGTTGCACAACTGTTAATGGATGGTGTATTCAAGCTGCATGGAATGGCTCAAACTATTGTCTCTAATAGAGATACTATTTTCACTAGTAAATTCTGGAAGGAATTGTTTAAATGATAGAAGGTGTTTCTCTTGACTTCCACCTCCTATAATCCAAAAACTGATGGATAGACAGAGGTGGTCAATAGGTGTTAGAGTGTTACTTGAGGTGTATGACCTTTGAAAAGCAAAAAGAGTTGCCAGTGGTTATCATTAGCTGAATGGTGGTACAACACCGCCTTTCATTCTGCTATTAACATGACTCCATATGAAGTTGTCTATAGTCAAAAACCACCCCCTCTACTGCCCTACATGGCCTTTAAATCACAACTTGACCTTGTGGATAGAAGCTTTCAAGCTAAAGAATCAACACTAAGGTGCCTAAAATTCCACCTTCAGAGAGTTCAAAACAGAATGAAAACTCAGGCTGACAAAAGAGAAACTGACAGATCTTTCTCTGTAGGAGATTTGGTGTACATTAAGCTGCAATCTTGCAGGAAATTGTATATGAAGCCCTATAATTTTAAAAAAACTATCTACTAAGTTTTTTGGTCCATTTAAAATCATTGCAAGGGTAGGAGCTGTAGGCCTACACCTTGAACATACCTAAGGACTCTAAGAAGAAATTGGGATCACATATAGCTTCTATCACACTGCCTGTAGTTCAGTCAGAGGCAGGTCATGTTCTGTTGGTCCCTGAAGCAATCATTGATATGAGGTTGATATATAAAGATGGCAAACCTACAACTCAACTACTGGTTAAATGGCTCAATGTTGCTGAAAAGGACTGCACAAGGGAAGATTATGAGTCCTTCTGCCAGCAATTTCCTTATTTCAATCCTTGAGGACAAAGATTGTCTCAAGGGGGAGTATTCATATGAGTCAATCCAGTTAGATTTCCAGATTAGTTATTTTGGTTGCCAATTCATATTTTAGTATAAGCCTGTATTTTAGTTAAAGATTCGATCATTGTGTTAGTTGTTAGTTAAGGTCATGTGCAACATGTGACTTCTGGTACAACTGTAAGGGAGTTAGTTGTAACTAACTTTCGGATTCCTTTTCTCTATCGAACTGCTCGTGTATACATAGTAGTGGATTTAGTTGTACAATTTATTCAAACATTTTAATCAATAAGAATCCCTCTTATCATTCTCAGCTCTTCTTCTATTCTTCTTCTCCATCAAGCTCAACTGTTCAGGAGCAATTCTTCACATTTGCTTCTTAGGATTTGCTTATTCTCCTTCTGATTCTGTATAGTGTGTATCATAAACTTGGCCATAGTTTCAAACTTCGTGTCAGTGGCGCCGTTAACTATCACGCTGATCCAAACTTTGAGTTGCGAGTATATTTATATATCATGACAAGTTGAAGCCTAATGTCATTGACACCGGTACCGCTGCTGAATCAAATCTTCGAGTCGTTGGCACCAATCAATTAGACAGAACCAAAAGTTTCGTCCTGTTGGCACCGAGGCCTCCAAAATCTTTTCCCTTCGCTGCAGATACTGCCCGGGATAGTCATCCTTAGGCATCTGTTTAGAAAACAATCATATGTTTTCGTAGGACATCGAAAGCACAAGCCGTCTGATCCTCTTGACACTACACTTAAAATACTTCAACATATCAAAAATTTGGGGCGAAATTCCTGTTGTAGCTTCTCAGGTATTATTTTGAAATTTCGTTTCAGATGCTGTCATGCTCAAATTTACAACCTTGCGTGCCTTCACCAAAAGACTTATATCTTGGTGTAGTAGCATCGAAATCATGAGTGGTTTGTGATGTCGGAAACTAGACTTCTAGAGATACAAAATATATGAAGATCACAATCAGATTGACCTTATATCTTCCTAGATATCTTCTAGAAGTTAGGCGATGAGTTTCGACATGTGAGCTCCTTCAACTTTACGCGCTCTCACCAAAGTAAAACATGTTCAACCATATATTTGTTTTTTTACATGCGAAGAGGTGCATGAAAACTTTATATCCATTGAGCATTGTCTTAGACAAATTCTTGCAACTTAGCGTATAAATTCATGGAGCATCCTCTTCTTATAGTTGGCCGAATATGTCTAGGCATTCCAAGTCCTAGTTTTATTGAAGAAGTAGACGAAGCACTCTCTTCTTGCAATGTGTCATAGAAGGCTAGATGAAGTGTTCCCTTCCTCAGTATTGGTGAGAAAGAGTCTTGCAGCGACCGTATTCCATCCTTGACGAGCAAACACATCTAATCCTTACGGATTGGCTCGAAAAGGCTTGGAGTTGGAGCGACCATATTCTTCTTTGCAAGCGAGCATATGGCGTGTCTCTTTTTTGCTGCTTGGCGAAATTGACACTACTTGGAGCATTCCTTTACAACCTTGATGAGCAAGTACTTGGTACATCTCCACAAACATATCCATTCTTTGGCGTAGGCGCGATGAAATCAAAAGCCGCTTCTTCCTAAAGAATCAGAACTCAAATATTTGCTGCTTTGACTTCATAACACTACATGCTCTCATTGAAAATCATATCTCGACCTAGGAGTTTCCAAACTACAATCCTCTTGATTCTACAGAATTAGAACTTGACCACAGTGACATATCCAAAACGTAGGGGCAAATTCCATCCGGCTAAGTCAGAATAAACTTTCAAAAGCGATGGAGACGCATGATTTTGACTTCATAGTACTGCATGTTGTCATTAAAAAGTACATATTTCAAGCTAGGAGGGTCCAAATCACGAGACGTTTGTGCCATCAGAAAGATAAGTTCGAGACCTACAACACTTGAATATGTCATGGCAGAACACCTTTTAGGTGTCGAAATATTATTTTGAAGTTTCTCCTGATGTCTCCATTGCTGCTTTTTCAACTTTGTGCACTCTCGTCAAGAAATTCATATCTCGAGCTACAGGTATCAAAATTGCGATCTCTTTGTGCTGTTAGAAAGTAAACTCATAGAGCTGGAACATATATGAATTTCATGGCAGAAATCCTTTAGAGCTAGAAATAGAAAATTCTCAAAGTCGACTTAGCTGCGGTAAACTTTCAGATTTGTGTAGTTCCGGCAAAAAAATCATATCTTGAGGTAGGAGCCTCCAAATTGCAAACGGTTTGTGTTGTTGGAAACTAGACATCCGAATCTACAACATATAAAATGTTAGGGGCACAACATCTTCCGGATGGACCGCAATAGTTTTCCAAAAATAATACTATTGTCCGTTGAGCTCGCTTTCCATCTCTATGATTTCTGAGTTGTCCTACGAATGTTGTTGTTTTCTTGAATTTGACTCTACGGTCTTGAATGTAGTAACTCTAGCTATCATGCTTTACAAATCTTATCTCTTCATTTATTTCTTTTGCAGACTCACAAAGGAGCTCAAAGGGTCCGTATATCAGACTGAGATGTCATACAAGATGCAGATATGTTGAAGTTTTGAGCATGAAAAATCTCTATGAGAAAGAAAGAATTATTGTATTTGGTCGTCATGCAAAGCCACCCCTTCAATAGCTGCTGCACTATATTTGTTGATAGTCTTGAAGTTCATCAATGGCGTCTCCTATGGAGATTGAAGGTTTTTTATTAAGAGAGACGACTTCTCACATATGGGACCTTCAACCAACACTTGCACCAGAGAAGCAACTATCATGCTCGAGGCCTAACAACAAGACTCATGGTAAAAAGATCATCACAAACACTAAAGGTGAGAGACGTATATTAAGGATGGTGTATTAAATGTGGAGGCGTCATACAAACATGGAAACAAATTTAAGACGCGTCAGCAACAAAGCCTAGTTTACAATCATTTTTATTACTTAGGCTTTTGTACAGGATAATGTCTAACCTCTTTCGTCTCCACATTTTTGGATGTATCAATTTTTGTAATATTGAAGCAATAAAATATCTTTACACTTCAACACAAATTTCCTTCTTTTTCGGTTTTTTTTTGGTAATTATGACTTTTTATTACCAAGGAAATATTTATAGAGTGCTCAAAACCTCTAAAGTTGGACAACAGCCCCTACTTTAGCATACTTCACCTACATCCAAGAAAGAAAATAGAAAATTGTAACCTATGCTTTGTCTACTAACCAAACTAACTAGGATAGTAATCAAGTTGCTTCAACAGTAGTGCCAATTTCTTCCTCGTTCTTCCTTTGCAATGTATGTCTTGAATAATCTGCCTCACTATAGTTGTTGCTGGTTTGGTTCTTTATTGGAAGATTTTGTTGTTTCTTTCCAACCAGGTATAGTATACACTTCTTGCAAGAGCCATACGGTATATCTCTGCTTTGGCATTATTACCACATGCATGCTTCTGAGCCCACTCGATTTCTTCCTTCCATCCCATAGCTTGTCATTGGATTCCCTGCCACTTGAGTAGTTGCTGCAAGATCTAAGATGTGGTTGGACATTCAAAGAACAAGTGTTGTACATCTTCTTCGTCACTATCACATAATGGACATGTTGTGTCATATCTCATATCCCATTTTTTCAGTCTCATCTTTGTGTAATGCCTGTCTTGTATTGCAAGGTATAAAATGAATAACCATTTGGGGCTGCCCTGGCTGTTGGATGTCAATTTCCTCCATTTCACTTTAGGATAGTTGTCTCTCAGCTTATTCTACATTGTCTTTATAGCATATGTCTGACCATTCAGAAATTCAACTGTAGTTACTCCTGCACTCTCCAAATACTACTTAGCCTTTAGGATCTTCTGAATCAGCCAAGATGCTTGTGGAGCAGTGCTTTCCCACACTTCATTACACTTAGTATAGTAGATATGACCCATTGTATCCATAGCCTATCCTTCTTCTTGCATAGGTTCCAATAGTTCTTGAGTATGGCAGCTTTATTCCATGTGTAGATGTCTACTATGTTGAGACCACCTCCTGATTTTGGTAAACAAATTTTGTCCCATCCTATTAGAGCCTTCTTTGAGCATTTATTATTCCCATTCCATAAAAATCTTCTGCATACTTGTTCAATCCTCTGAACCACCTTCTTTGGCAAGATGAAAATTTGGGACCAAAACTGTTGAATGGCTATGAGTACACTCCTGATCAGCTGCAATCTCCCTGCATAAGACAGTATCTTTGATGTACATGAAGTTACTCTCCCTATCATCCTCTCTATTAATGGTTGACATTGTCCAATTGCTAGTCTTTTTGAGCTCAATGGAACTCCCAGGTACCTGAAGGGCAGAGATCCCACAGAGAAGCCTAATTCTTGTATAATTTGCTGCTGTACTGGCTTGGCACACCTCCAAAATAGACAGCACTCTTCTCTTGGTTGGCTATTAGCCCAGATGCCAAAGAGAATTGCTGAAATTGTTTATACAATAGCTGAGTAGATACCACATCCCCCTACAAAACAGCAACAAGTCATCTGCAAACCCCAATTGTATTATGTTCAGATTGTCACATCGAGGGTGGTAGTCAAAATCTAGATTTTCTGCCAGTGTTTTCAGTAGTATACTAAGGTACTCCATGGCAATCACAAACAGAAATGGTGACAAGGGATCACCCTGCCTTACTCCTCTCTTTGCAGTAAAAGGGACACTTGGTTTACCATTTATGACTACAGAGTATGAAACTGTCGATGTACACACCATGATCCATCTTACAAATGTTTCCGAAAAATTCAGAGCATTTAGAACTTGTTCTAGGAACACCCATTCTATAGTAGTCATAGGCTTTTTGCATGTCAATTTTGATCATGCATCTTGGCGACACCCCTTTCCTACCATATCCTTTCACTAGTTCATGAATAAGGATAATATTATCTGTAATGACTCTACCAGGTACAAACGCAACCTGACTCTTATCAATGAGGTTGTCCATGACTCCCTGTAGTCTATTAGTGAGCATTTTGGATATGATCTTATAAAGTGTGGAGCGGCAGGATATAGGTCTATATTAATTTACCGAGGAAGGGTTTTTTACCTTAGGCACCAAGGTAATGGATGTGCAATTTATCGGTTGGTAGAGCTTATTAGTATCAAAAAAATTCAGGATAGCTTCAGTTACCTCATCTCCAATCATGGTCCATGCTTTCTTAAAGAATAGTGATTTAAATCCATCTATCCCTGGGGCTTTGTTGTCATCAATCCCCTGTAGTGCTTTCCAAACTTCTTCTCTGCTAAATGGTCGGATAAGCTGCAACTTTTGTGTCCTTCATAGCATAGATCCCCTCCTCATAACATCTAAATTTACAGCAGGCAGTGTGGTATTTGCATCCCCAAGTAGGTTCTTATAAAAGCTTAGGATCTCCTCCTCTATCCCCATTTCTGTTTGAATGATATCACCTGTTGCATTAACAAGTAATTTGATCTGATTCTGAGCTGTCCTGTTCTTGATGCTGGCAAAAAAATAAGCTAAATTGGAATCCCCCAATTTGAGCCATTGTACTCTAGATTTCTGTTTATATATGCTCTCCTCTATTAAATCACATTTCTCCAGCTGCGACCTTAGCTCTTTTTCTACATCAAAGTTAAGGGAATCCTGATTATATGTTCTGATCTGCTTCTGTAGTAGTTGAAGATCATTCCTGATGCTTTTATATCCCAGAGAACTCCTTTGTGTTTAGGCCTTTCATTGCTTGTTTTATGGTTTTCAGCTTGAGTTATACTCTTTTCAGGTTATTGCATTTGTAGTGACCTTCCAGTTGTCTTCTACTATCTTCCCAAAACATGGATGATCAGCCAAACAATTCAAGAATCTGAATGGTCTTGGTGCTTTCTTCTGTTGTCTCCCCAACTCAATGCTTAGTAGTGAGTGATCAGAAAAGTACGGATCTAGGACATGAACTTGAATAGGATGCATATTGTTCATCCATTCTCCATTATCTAACTTTTTGTCAATTTTGCTGAAGTCATGGCTGTTAGTCCATGTGAATGGTCTTTCTATTACCTGTAACTCAGTCATACCAGCATCTTCCACAAATTCTCTGAAGTCCCTTATCTCATGGTCTTGCACCACATTACCATGCACTCTGTCTTCAACCTCAAGTATAGCATTGAAATACCCCATTACAAGCCATGGTTCTTGTTGTCTACTTTATATTTCCCTAAGTTTTCTCCATAATTACTTCCTTTCATGCACTGTGTGTAAACCATAAACAGCTGTAAAATGAAAGGTTAGTGCAGTATTAGGAAAGCTAATTGCAGCCTGTATGTATTGATTATGGGTGTTGATCTTCTTAATCACGGCATGCTTGGGATCCCATATCAGTCATATCCTTCCTTTATTATTCAGGGAAATATTTGAAAACCATTCCCATGTAGGTGTTATTTTGTGTATGACCTGGCCGTCTTTACATTCTTTCACTCTATGTTCTATGATAGCTATAACACTAGCTTTATTCTCTTTAATAAACTCTCTTAGCTCCTTTTGCTTATACAACTTATTCATTCCCTCACATTCCAAGTAATGACTTTCATCTTAGTAATGAAGGGAAATGGTTTTGATCATCTGTACCACCTTGGCTACTTTGCCCTCTTTCACATTGCTTGCTTTGCTGTATTACCATGACTTGGCCTAGTGGATAATTTGCCCACCCTGCTAGTGAGCTGAGGCCATTATTTGTATCAAAATCTCCTTCTTTTTTTCCCGCACTTTTAGCCATTTTAGTGGCTGATTTTGCTTTCACCACTGTCCATCCTTCTGCTTGTGGTTCATTTGGAGTAACTTGTGCTTTGTCATCAGAACCTTTTCCACCATTTTTTTGACCACTTCCATTCTGCACTTGCACATTCTGTGTGACGACCCGACCCGTCGTCTCATGTATTACAGCCTCGTTTCCCCCATTTATTGCTTCTTCATGTTTCATTATCAGCAACGAGTGAGTTATAGTTGAATTGAATTGGTTTGGATAGGAAATGAGACACTTAGTCTCTTTAAGGAAGGCTTAAATTGGAAAAGTCAACTGGACGTTGGCTTATGAGTTCGAAGGTTCGGATGTGATTTCCGATGATCCGGTTAGCTTCGGGAGATGATTTGTGACTTGGGAGCGTGATCTGAATTTGTTTTGGAGGTCCGATGTAGAATTAGGCTTGAATTGGCGAAGTTAGCATTTTGGCGAAATCTGGTTGATAGGTGAGATTTTGATCCGAGGGTCGGAATGGAATTCCGAGAGTTGCAGTAGCTTCTTTAGGTGATTTTGGATATGTCTGCAAATTTTCAGGTCAGTCGGACGTTGCTTGGTTGGATTTTTGATCGAATGCGAGTTTCGGAAGTTTTTAAAGAACTTAGGCTTGAATCCGATGAGAATCGATAATTTTAGTGTTGTTTGATGTGTTTTGATGATTGGAATAAGTTTGGATAATGTTGTAAGTCATGTTGGTGCTTTTGGTTGAGGTCCCGGGGGGCCTCGGGATGATTTCGGATGGCTAACGGGGAGTTTTTGGAATTTCATACAGCTGAAGGCATGCTGTTTCTGGTATTCTCGCTTCTGCGCGTCTTGGACCGCAGAAGCGGAGCTGTGATCGCAGAAGCGGTCCTTGAGGGCTTGGCAATTTCCGCAGAAGCGGAAGGCAGTCCGCAAAAGCGGACATCGTAGGAGCGGGTGGTGACCGCAGAAGCGGTCCTGAGGATTTTAAGTTAGAAGCGGTTATTTTGCGCAGAAGCGGGAGCCGCAGGTGCGGTATCCTAACCGCAGAAGCGAAACCTGGCTGAGTTTAAGTGAACAGTGTTTTCACGATTTTGAAAGAGAAGAAACATTTTGGACTTCGGACTAAGGAGATTTTGGGCGATTTTTGAAGAGGGTTTCGAGGGCTATCATCAGGTATGGATTCATAGACTTAGATTATGATATTACGGTGTAAAATCATGGATTAACAATAAAAATCCAAGGAATTAAAGGTTAAAAATGAAGTTAGGGTTTGAGAAAATTATGACGTAAAAATAGAATTTGGAGGGTCAAACAAACTCCGATTTTGGTAAATTTTATATGTATGGACTCGTGGCGAGACGAGAAATCCGGTGATGTAAATTTCGTAATTTTTCGAGAAGCGGGCCCGGGGCTCGAGTTTTGCTAGTTTCGAGATTCTTGCTAATTTTCGATTGTTTTCGATTGGGTATTGTTCCCTTAGCATATTGTGATGTATTCGCTCTGTTTTTGGTTAGATTCGACGCGCGTGGAGGCCGATTGAGGGGCAAAGGCGTCGCGAGCTAGGGATTTCACCAGTCCGAGGTGAGTAATACTTGTAAATGATATCGTGAGGGTTTGAAACCCCGGATTTGCACATCATAGTGCTGTATTGTGGTGGCTTGCACGCCAGGTATGAGCGTGGGGTAGAGCACCGTTGGGGATTGTGACTTAGTCCGTCGCGGTTGTTGGTTTTATTGCGTAATTGACTGAAACTACTTGTTATCATCATTATTTGGGTTGATTGCTATATTTGGGCTTCGTGCCAATTGTTTGAATCCTTCAGGGATCGATATCACTGTTTTTGCATTACTTTGCATACTATTTTATCACAGTCCAAGGTATAAAATACTGTGTCGCAAACTTAGCTACCTTTCTAAGATTTGAAAACCTGAATGATATTTTACTGACATTTTGAGTTGAGACTGTTATTTTACTATTGCCCAAGGGGCTTATGTGCATTTCTGGACTGAGGATGGATTGGGCTGCGCGCCGCAGCGGTGTGATATTGACATTGCGCTTGGGCTGTAGGAGCCCCTCCGGAGTCTGAACCCCCACAGTGAGCGCGGGTACCCAAATGGATCGGGCTGTACGCTGCAGCGGTCATGTGCATTGCATTGCATTCATGCATTGGTTCCTGTTTGTACTACGTGTCATGACATTCAGCACTCTCATATCATTGGCATCCATGCTACTTCTTGCACTGTTTACCAGACGCCTTGGTGTTAATTGTTAGTGGAGTGCTGTGCTCGAGGGGCTGACTTATGTGCGAACTTGCATTATCTGAATACGCATTCATTTGCTTGACTGTTGTAAAAGGATATTTTCAAAAGAGGTTTTTAAACTGAGCCAGATATTTTCTAAAGGATTTTTTTTCACGGTCTTACTGTTTTCTAAAAAGGGTTGTACTGTCCTATATAGCATGATGGAGTGCTCTTACGTGATTTCTTGCCTCTCAGTTATTATTTACTCTTATTACCACTAAGTTGGAAGTACTCACTTTACTCTCTGCACCTCGCGTGCAGTTGCAGGTATCGTTTCACCCAGTAGTGGGTTATTAGCGGATTGAAGGTATTGTTATTGTAGCTGAGCAAGGTGACCGCCAGCGTTCCCGGCACCGGATGTTGTCTTTTGTTTTCTAGAAATTTTACTTGTTTATATTTATTGGCCTGTAGTTGTGTTAAAGTTTCCTTAGATGCTCGTGACTTGTGACACCCCGGTCGGGTAGAAATTAACATTTTCTAATGCCATTAAGTTGTATCTTCTATTCATTATGTTTAATAATTGTTAGTGAAAGGATTAGGGTTAGTTGGCTGGCCTTGTCTTCACGAGAGGCGCCATCACGACCGGGTATGGGAATTGGGTCGTGACATTCTGTTTATCAATTATCTTCAGCACTTGGTCACTCCTCCTCCATACTTGCATAGGCTTTAGTTGCATCCCTTTTTTGAATTTGTAATGGTTGCTTCTGCACATTCATAGTCTTGCAATTATGTCATATTTACAAACATGATGCACAATACTCAGGTTCCCAGTCATATATCACTTCCTATTCAAACACCCCACCCTTAGGGTCTTAGACTGTAATGCATTTAGGGAGTGGTCTAGTAACATCCATTTCAATGAGTACTCTTGCATATGATATGCGTGCAATATTGGTGGTGCACTCATCAGCATATACAGGAGTACCTAAACCACTACTTGTTTTGCTAAGTGATTTCCCTCCCCAATAGCTTAGAGGCAGATTTGGGAACTTGACCCATATTGGAATAGTTTTAAGGATTTCATTTTGAAAATTGAACTCTACAGACCATTCTTTCATTATCACAAGCCTGTTATTGATTGTGTTTGGGCTTAATAACAGTACCTCATCTCTTTCCTCCACGCTCTTGAATCGAATGACAAAGTAATCATCGTTGTGATAATATATTTGGGGCTTCTCTATGAACTTCCATTGTGTTATGAGAAATCTCTCCACTGCTCCTATCGATGGGGATTCTCCAATGACATAAAGAATTATAGCCAATCTCCACTTTGCACTTTCTTCTTCTATATCCCCCTGCTCTAATTTTACAATTGTTTTCCCTTCATGAATGCTAGGTGGTACATAGCTCAAACTCATGCCTTTTGACGCCAACTTATTTCCCGTAAAAGTACTTGCCTAGGTTTGCTTGTTTCCAGTCACCTTAGGTGAATCAGCATTCCTTAGTACCTTTTAAACTTCATCATTCTCCTTGTTGTTGCTCGATTCCTTTGTTACAGTAAGGCTTTCCTGAATTCCTATAACTTTAGCCCCAAATGTACCCCCTGCATTACAAGTGGTACATTCGCCATTGTCAACCTTCCTGCATGTGCTTGATTCAGCCATACCAGCTATTGATTTCCCCTTCCTAGTGATTAGCGCGTTCTCAGATCCCTGTTTGTCCAGTTGATTATCCTTGTCCGTTAGTGTTTGTTTCTCAGCAGAGCCATGGAGATTTCCTACATGTGGTGATTTTCCATTTCCAGATCCTACCTCCAATTCCTTAAGTAGCTTGAAATCCATAATCAGAACCTTGTTCACCCGCTTTCGTGGTCATCCTCGCCCTCCCATTCCGGTAGTCAGCGCATGTTAGTAGAATCACCTAACCGAACGCCGAGAGAGAAGAGAGAGAAGAGAGAAAACATTTCTATAGAAAAATGTTTTCTTCTTTTTCGTATTACATATGCCTCTCTACTTGAAAGAGTTATTGTGATGATCCCAAAAGCCAAACCCTTTTATTTAAACTCATGTGAATGAACATAGAATGAAACTTTAAGCTACCTACGTACCTCGTTAAAGAGGATAAAGTCATAACGTAGTTCAGAGGGATGAGTATTTTTTATGTCCTAATTTTTGCCTAAG